AACCCGATTGGCGTCGCCTCGACCCCCGCGCAACGCTCCCGTCGCTGACGGCGCCGTCCGTCCTTTCTCCTACAATCCGTCGCGTCGCAGACTTTCGCCTCCACCTTCCCCGGCACGCGAGCTACTTTTTCACGCGCACAAAAGACGTGTGCGCCGTACCGTGCCGGGTGCAATCTATCGTTTACATCCAGTACGCGGAGATTATTTGGGGAGGAAAAAAAAAGAATCGCTCTGTGGTTCACGTCCTTTCGATATTTGTCGTCCGCACCTTTCAGGAACGAGCGGCGATTTCTTGCCCACGCCACCGCTGACGGATGGGGGCCTCCACTGTGGGCGCATTGGGCGACTCTACGGGTGAAACGCGCCTTAGAAATGTACAATTATGATGATGATGATTATTGAGTTGGCGGGAGCCCGAGCAAGAGCTCCCCTCTTAAGGGTACCGTTACACGGTACCAGCACCGCACGCTAAACGCTCATCGTCAGCCGCGATAACTCCCTCCTCCTCCTCCTCTCTCCCCGCGAGAGCGTTGTGCGGATTTTTTTCCTTTTGCTTATTTGCGCACCCCCCCCCCCCTCCGGCTGCAAAGAGCCGCCGTGGGGCCGCCCGACTGTGTGGGCGACGTTAGGGGGGGCCAATACCCACGGGGGGGGGGGGCAGGGGCACGGGCAGGGGCGGGCGGGGGGGAAGAGTCGCAACACTTTGCGGCTTTCGAACCTGGCTTGTTGATCGAAATAAATGAACAAATAAATAAATAAGTAACGACCTGACCGACCGGACGGACACTACGGAGGCGAGCGGTGGGAAAATAAGTAAACGCCACGCGCGGGGTTTCGGCGACGCGCCACGTGCCGACGCTCGCGCGGACGGTAACGACGCTCGCACACAAAAAAAACACCGAGGCGCAGATGAAAACCAACCCCGGCAAAAAGAAAAAAAAAGACGGTGCGTATGCGTGCGTGCTGCCGGTGGCCGTGCGGGTCTTTATAGGTGCTCGCTAACAGCGCTTGCTCAAACAAGTTCTGTAAAAGGCCACACGTGGGGGAGGGGGGGGGGGGATCTCTTCCTTTGTTTTGTGTCCACACTATTTGTGTGTCCACGTGCGTGCATGTGTTTCCGTGAATGTGTCCACGCAAACCACGTGTGTGCGCGCGCGCGCGCGTCTGTCCGCGTGTCCACGCATGCGTGTGTGTGTGTGTGCGCGCACGTGTTTCCGTGTGCGTGTCCACGCATTCGTGTGTGCGCGCGCATGTATGTCCGTCCGTGTACGTGTCCACGCATTCGTGTGTCCGCGCATTCATGTGTACGTCTGCGCCCGTGCGTCCGTGTCCATGCATTCGTGTGTGTACGTGTGTGCACGCGCGTTTCCGTGGCATGTGTCAACGCATTTGCGTGGCATTTGCGCCTGCGTCTCCATGCATGCGCGCGTGCGTGCGTGTGTCCGCGTGCCTAATATACCCCCCCCCCAACCCAGTCCGGCTTAGCACGTGGACGCCTGCCCGGGCAGTGATCTCAGCGCTTCCTGCCTTGGCTGCCCCAGGGATTGGAGGCGGCTCGGAGAGCTCGCAATGAGCGAGCGAGACCTAGGGGCCCGCGATCGCTTCTCTTCTCACTCACAGCTGCTTGGCCACTGGCCCCCGGCTCGTTGCCAGAACAGCTCATGTCGTAACAGATGCAAAGGCCATTTTCCTTCCCCTTTCCCCACCCAAAGACTCCCCTTTCTCCTAAATGCACCCATTTCAATATGAATACTATTTTTGAAGAAAAAAAATGTTGTGAAGGAGAAAAGAAAATCACACGGTTGGAAGAGCCGAGGAGGTGGTCGGTCGTGGTGGTTGGTAAGGGGGTGGATTTCATCCGAGTTGTGGAGTTGGGTGTCATAAATGATTTTTGGGCATCACTGGGTGATAAAACGCTGCATGCTGGAACATCTCTCTTCTTTGTCCAAGCCAAAAGTCTCATTTACTGCACGGGGGTTAGCTGCTCGGAATTTATCTCTGCGTGTACTTCTCTGCCTCTTCCCAAGCCACATTCACTGTCCTTGCATCGGTATCCATCGACCCACATAGACTTACACAGAGATCTATAGACTTGAGCATGTATGTATGTTGAACTTTTTCGCACCGTACGTAGCCAACCGTGCAAATCGGAGGTGCGGGGACAGACAACAAGCTAAACACAAAAAGCAGTTTTATAGAAATTCGTTTTAAATCTATATTTAACATTGCACAGGTCCAGTGGCTTCCTAATATCGGAAGGAAGAGCGTTCCAGACGGCCATAGAAGCGCATCTGAAAGTGCCACGTGATGCGGTGATCGTCTTTTTTTTACGAAGAGATCCATAGACTCACATTAACGTACACAGAGATCCACAGACTTAAATACACACCCAGAGGCTCACTTTCACTTATGTGATCCATAGACTTACACAGAGAACCTAACACTTGCACAGACTTACATGGAGACACATAGACTCAAATCAAGATTGAGAGACATAGACTTAGTTAGGGATACATTAACGTACATAGAGATCTACATAATTAAATACAGACCCACAGACTCACAATCAACTTAAATGGTCCGCAGACTTACACACCAGACCCTTACAAAGACTTACATAGACAACCAAAGACTTGTATCTTCTTAGAAGCCAAATTCCCATCATTGCATGGGGTCAGTTGCTCATATTTTCTTCTCCACGTGTTTATAGACTGTGCCTCTGCCCTCATCACTATACCCGTCCTGGACTGTAAATCTCAGCTGCCAACAGCTTATGTTTAGCTTTTGCTTCACGATTGTTCATTGCACGTGGGCATCCGTAGTCCTGTTGGTACGTGTGAATTATTCACGCACGAGGCGTATAAAGTTGTTCAGCCCCCCCCCCAAATTGTGAGGTGTCTTGGCGATGGAAATTCAGCTACCCACTGCCTCCACGAACACCATAAATCAGATCAATAAACCATCAATCAGATCAATAAACAGGGCTTGAATATCTACTTCTCTTTTTTACTTTTTGCATATGCAAAAAGTATAATAATACTAATAAGAAGCGATGGATTGGATCTGCCTCTGTGGATCTCTCCCTTGTATATGTAGAGGTTTATCCGGATTCTCTGGGTTTCTCCTGCAGAAACACTCTCAAATGGAATTGGCCAATCGTCCAAATGTAGCGAAACCTTCCGACAAAAAAACAGTCTTGGGATATTACGAGCATTTCCCGGATAGATAAATAAATAAATAGCATGATTTTTACAGCCGCCAATTTAACGTGTCATCTTCATCCTGTAGGATAAATCCAATGACAGAATGAGGTACCGTGGTAAGCTATAACAGGACATTACATCTCTTGTCCATCACATTTGCACTGCTGGGTGGACAGAGGCATGCAGGGTAGGGGGGGAGGGGGGAATTTAAGAATTTGCACCGACTTTCCCCGCACGCGAATTTTTGTATAGCCTCTGTGCCGCGCCGGGAGAACGAATCGTCAGCGTCAGCTTCGTGTTATCCATAAAAAAAACTGACCAGAGAGAGGAGAGGGATTTCTTGCTTTTTCGATTATCTACGGCTGACCATGGCTGAGCCACGTTTTCACGTGGCTCAGCCACACTCGTGGAAGTGCTAACTGCGCGCTTCCCTGTCATGCCGGGCCATTGCCCAACGCGGCGTTCCGCAATGCCAACTAGAAAGTGAAGTGCAACCGTGGTCCTGACCCCAACCCAATACCGTGAAGGAAAAAGAAAGTCATCTGTGGAAATATCTGTACGTATGCGTGTTGAACTTCTTTCGCACCACCGTACGTAGCCAACCGTGCTAATCGGAGGTGCGGAGGAAGGACAACAAACTAATCACAAAAAAAGCACCTCTAAAGAAATGAGTTTTCAACCTAGATTTAAAAGTGCATAGCTCCCAGTGGCTTCCTCGTATCGGAAGGAAGAGCGTTCCAGACGGCTGAAGAAGGGCATCTGGAAGTGCGCGATGCGGCGACTGCCGTCTTTGTTCAATGGCTCGCCAAAAGCCGCTGTGAGGGTGTGGCACAGCACCGCGTACAATGCACAAAATCTTTGCGTGCGCGCGTGGGTGCGCATGCTTGTGAGGAGCGGTGGCGCAGTGGCCAGCGCCCTGCGCTAAAAACCCGCCGACCCGAGTTGCAATTCCCGCTCACGGCCACGATGATCTGAACCGGTCCTGTGCCTCCCGTAGGACAACTCAGCCTCAAATGAGCACCTGGTGCGGTGTGTGAAAATATCGCCACTGGGGGAGACAAAGGTGGCCACCCACCCTGCCATACTCTGTGCCGGCCTGCATACGTAGGTGCTGTTCGGTAACAGCACTTGACCAAACAATTAGTTAAAGGCTACACGGGGGATCTATAGGACCCTTTTTGGCAGTATTAAGATGATAAAAAAAATAAAAAAAGGCTTTTCCCTTTCTGGAAATAATTCAGCTGTTAAGATGTTCAAACAAAAAATGGACACCTATTACTTGGCATCAAGGCATCAAGTGTCTATTTAGTGTCCGAACATCTTAACTAGGGGCGGAGCCAGGATTTCAGGTCGGGGTGACATTCAACAAATTTTAATTTCAAGAATGATTTAGAGAGTCAGGCTGTTGAACTAGACGCCATCGGTTGGCGACACACTCTGACAATGCAGTTGCACGGAGTCCGCCAGACCGAGTGTCGTACACTTATACGCAGAATGTCACCCCTGTCACCCCCCCCCCCCTGGCTCCGCCCCTGATCTTAACACCTCCTGTATTATTTCCAGAAAGGGTAAGGCATTTTTTTTGTTTGACGACACAGGGGGAGAATCTTTGTGTCCGTACGGAGGTGTCCATCTGTACGGAGGTGTCCGTTCATACGGAGGTGGTGTCTGTTCGTACGGAGGGGGTCTCCGTCCGCACAGAGGTGTCCATCCGTACATATGGAGGTGTCCGAACGTCCGTACGAAGGCGTGCATTGCGTGCGTCCACGCCGGCAAGACCCGCAGCGTCCCTCTCACCGGTGTGCTCGTATTTGTGGCGCATGAGCGAGCTGCTCTTCTGGAAGGCCTTGTCGCACAAGTTGCACGTGTAGACCCCCCCGACAGGCGCCGCGATGCCGCTGGCCGGGTTGGGCACCTCCAGGCGGCGCGCCTTGGCTGCCGACGGCCCCGCCGGGACCTCCATCTCCGGCAGCTTGAGCGCCATGGGGCCCAGCTCCAGCAGGTTTCCCTGCGGAGCAGAGAAAGAGAGAACGTTGTGTCGTGTCGCATCTTGGAGTGGGCTGACGTGCGATTAAATAAATGAAACTCTTTTGTGCGTTTAGTTTCGTTGTCCTTCCCCCGCACTTCCGATTAGCACGGATGGCCATGCACGGTGGGAAAGAAGTTCAACGTACACACGTAGGTACATTAGTCACGTGGTGCACGAGCGCGGATAACAAAAATGCAACGCCTTCGTTCGTCAATAACTTTGCCCAAAAGAGGACTTTTGTTTCATATAATTGCCCGCAATGCCCCCCTATTATATGTATTTGTTCCTCTTCCTCGGGGGCAGTGCTATTGAGGCACGTAGCGTCGAGCTCCCGTCGCTCATCGCAGCGGACTTTAGCGCAGCAGACGTGAAATGGACGAGGTACCTGCAGCCCGAACTTGTGGTGCAGTTTGTTGGCGTGCCGGAGTTCGCCCGGCAGCGCGGTTCCCGGCGACCCGTACGGGAACGTAAGGTAGGACAGCAGCCCGACCTGGTCCAATCCTCCATAGGGTCTCACCAGACCCGGCAGCCCCCCGTGGTGGCCCGGCGACATCAGGCCCGCGGCGGCAGCGGCGGCCGCGGCCGCAGCGGCCGCCGGGTGGAACGGAGGCCCCACTCCGTACGACGGGAAGTGCGGGAACACCGGCTTGGCCCCAAAGAGTGGGAATCCCAGAACGGATTTCGAGCCCAGATGGAAGTCACGCTGCCCCATATCTGCCCTCTCCACCCCCAGCTCGAGCCTCCTCTTGAAGTAGGCGATGTTTGGCGGCTCCCCGCCCCGGTTGTGGTTTTTCACGGGGCTGATGCAGCCTGAAGGAAGGGCCTTGTTGTTGTGGTTGTTGTTATTATTACTACTGCCGCCATCGTCTTCGAACTCTTTCTCGGTTGCCAAATGCTTTGGCAGGGAGAGGTCGAGGGGCTCTGACTGCTGCTGCTGCTGCTGCGATCCGTCGACTCCGTGGCCATTCCGCAGGAATGGAGCGTGCGGCGCGTCCGTCCCGTGGGCAGGGCCCGGCTTCGCCGCCGAGCAGCCCTTGTCGGCGCGCACGTGCACCAGGGCGCCCTGGCGGCCTTCGTCCGCTCTCGCCCGTTTCGAAGACGCCCCGTCCATTTCTTGTGGCGGGCGATCGTCGGCTTGGCATGGCCCTCGCGCTTCGGCGTGTTCGTGAACTGCCGCCGGTGGCGGTGGCGGCCTCGGGTAGCCGCCGTGCTCTTTGCCCCGCGGCAAGAACACCGAATCGCCCGCGCCGTAGTAGTCCGGTGCCTGCTGGCCGTCCACCATTTTCTTGGGGCTTCCCGAATACGCCCTCATTTTCTCAAACCAGTCCTTGACGAGCTCGGGCGGCAGGCCGACGCGCACGGATATCTTGGCGAGGTCCTCGACGCTCGGCTCCATGTTCAGAGCGAAGAACGCCCGGAGCAAGGAGGCAAGGTGGTCCTTTTGCAGGGGGTAGGCGGCGAAGGTCTTGTCGTAAGGCATCGGGGAGCTCGCCAGGTGCATCTTCTTCCCGTGGTGTGCCGGGACGATGCCGTCGTTGGGATGAAGAATCGCCTTGATGTCCTCGTTCATCAGGCAGAGGTAGCGCTCGTGCTGGTGCAGGGGAATGGGGCCCGAGAAGGCCTCGTTGCAGTACTGGCAGCGGAACGCGTCCCCGAAGGGAAACGGCGGCTTCTCGTCCGTCTGGTCGCACTTCAGGGGCTTCTCGGCGCACGAGCCATTCACGTGGTGGCCGCCCCCGCCGCCGACGTCGCCGTTCTGACCCTGGCGCGTCTTGCCACCGCCGTCCGCGACGCTCATCCCGTTGATCTTCACCTCGCCATTCCTGTAGCTGGCGCCGAAGCCGGCAGGCGGCACGAGGTGTCTGTAGTGGTGAGGGCCCGACGACTCCTTCTTGATGGACACGGCGCTGGCGGCGGCGTCATCGAGGTGCCCCGGTTTGGACCCATCGCCAAAGTCCTGCTCCTTGGGCCAGGGCGCCGCTCCGTCCACGAACGCCTTCGTCCGCTGCGCCTCCTTGCCGTCGTCGCGGCCCGGGGAGGCGTGGTGCATCTTCACGGCGGGCGCCCCGTACTCCCACGGTTGGCCGAGCAGCGCGCCGCCGTTGCGAGCGGGGCTCCCCGGCCGGCAGTTGCCATTCCTCGGCTCGTCGTACGTCGGCGAGCTGTGCCGCCTAGCGCCGACGCCACCGCCGCCGCCGCCTTGCAGGTCCGAGAAGTCTCCGCCGTTGTGCTCCGTTTTGACCTCGTGACCTGCGGCGGCGCTGAAGCTCTCGAGGCGCCGCCTCATCATGTGCATGAGGTCGATGCGGCCTCCGAGGTCGAAGGGCAGCGCGACGCCCCCGACCCCGCGGGCATGTAGGGCGAAGAGGGAGTCGGGCCTCATGCCGGCGAGGCGCGCCCGCATCCCGCCAGCGCCGCCGCTCAGAGCCGCGTTGGCGCCCACGCCCAGCCCGATGCACTTCTTGCTGCTGATGTGGGAGCTGTAGGAGCCCGAGTGGGAGAATCGCTTCTTGCAGTTGGAGCATTCGTACGGTTTCTCGCCTGTGAAGTGGCAGAGGCAATTGAAATGAGACAACAACAACCACAAGGAAAATATTTCTACTTAGTTTTTGGTTAATTCTTTAATTAATACTCGTGACAGCAAGTTGAGGCACAGCGGCCATCACATTTAACGAGTGGATCACAGCAAGGGGGTCGTAATCATCGCCAGCCAGAAATTGTCCCCACTGTCGCAATCGGCTTAGGTAGGCACGGAGCCCATCTTGGGGAGCAGGGGGTAGAACGGGGCCACGCACACACAATTAATCAAAGCACCAAACCAAAAAGGTAAAGGCGCAGCCCCTGCAATTTGCTTCCTCACGCCACTGCTGGCAGAAGAGCCTCCACTAGAGGGAGCTCTGGATAGGGTATTTTGGACGATTTTCCCACTTGGCCAGACGCATTGGAAGAGGTGGGAGTACCCACACTGTACCCCACTGTGCACGGTCTGCCGATGGACTGACTGTGGTGTAGACATTTGAACTGCTGGGCGGACAGAGGTGGGGAGGACAGATAATAAACGTACACTCTTGTTTTAACTGCCACTCCGGGAGATGAAATTGAACCGGCGAACGCTGAATTGCAAGTCCAGTGTGCCGGATTAACTCAAACCAATACGATCAGGAGTTCAAATTAACGACAGGTAATGGAAATTCAAGTTAAGCTGCACGCTGTGTGGACCACACAGAAGCAAGGGTGAACACATTTTCCCCCGTCAATACATTTTACAACTCCCTGTTCATGCTATGAGCGGGGCTGCCAATGTGCAGAAGATAAAATATGATTAATGAGCTTTTGGCTGCAGCAGCAACACCTGTAGGTGACATAAAACCCCGAAAAATCTTGTAAACAGATCAGTAAGTTTTCAAAGCTGGTGCGTAGCCACAAGCATTGCTAACTAGGGATTGTCACTTGTCCTGGTTTTCCCAGGATCAACCTCTTTTTTTTTAGGAGGTAGTTGTACTGGGAGGCTGACCCAGAGGAGCCTGAATTGATGACGCTGTTGATTTGACAGTGGTGGCGAGATGCTATCTGCCTTGCCTGGTATGCAAGAGGTCATGGGTTGGATCCCAACTCTGACGCCTGAATATTTGGAATTTGCGTGTCTCTCTACCCTTGGTGTCATGGATTTTTCTCCGGGTCCTCCGGTTTTTCCTCCAAATTAAAAAAAACATGCGCTTAGAGTATTTGGCTGCTATAAATGTACACGTAATAAGCCACTTCGTTGAGCTATCATTTGTGATCAGATCGCTTCTGAAAAAAGCTAGTGTATATAGCTCAGTGGGCCTTACCTCGTAAAATTAAAAGGTTATCGTTTTTATAGTGTAGTATGGGCCAGGAAACTCACAAGAACTACCGAATGACAGAGCTTTGTGCCCCATAGGATGGTCCAGCTCATTGGCAACCCTCGCATCGATGAAAGATAGAGACGGACTTGTCCTTGGAAATCTGCAACGACCTTCGCTGGACATTAAAAGTCATGTTTTTGTCAGTTGCATGGTCTAACACCGTTTGAGACGAGGCTCAAAAGAAAGCTGTCTCTGGTGTGGACCAATCAGTTTCAAGGACCATGCATATATTATCATAGTATGTTTTTTATTTGCATTCTGACCAGAAGTATTGTGGTTAATGCAGACATGATTCCTCGTAAAATGGTTTCAGTTTTGTTGCCATAAAAAAGGGGAAAAACATATTCTTAAATAAAGTATGACTTGAGACAATCCATTTACATGTAGTTCTCCTCTCTTCTAGTAATTGTGAGATTATATTTTGTCCCATGGTATGTCCCGGTTGTTGATACCTCAGAGGTGGCAACACTTGTAAGGACCCACAAAGAAAACTTGTTTAGAATTATTGAGATTCAGTGGATGTGCCCAAAACTAAACTCAAGGTAGCAAAGTGAAGTAAGATTCTTAATGTTCATGGATATGCCTGAGACGTTTTTATATACATGATGTGTTTATTGGCCTTTTGATATGGCTGAAAATTAAAGTGCCAAACTAAGACATGTTTGCGATTTTTGTGGTTCCTTGAAATTGCCGAGGAACACAAACTGCTCTGGGATGATCACGTCCGCAGAAAGAGCACCCACACAGGAATCCAGCAAAAGCAACGGCCGGGGCTATGGTGGAGGGAAACAGAGGGCGGACTTCGATGGCGATGGAGGGGTGAAACGTACCACTGTGAATCCGCAGGTGTTCCTTCAGGTGGTGTTTGTACTTGAAGGCCTTCCCGCACTCGGAACATTTGAACTTCCGGTTGGCAACATTCTGGGCCCACGCCTGAGCCTGCAGGGGACAGAGGCAGGTGAACTATAGCGGCGACAACAAATAATCGTGGTTTTTTAACATATCTCGGGCCTGGTTCTCTGAGGCTCACGTGCGTGCGGTGAAAACCTAAGGCATCCACACTCATGTCTCTGTATGTGTACGGGAATTAAACCCGATAACCTCGAGTGGTGGTGCAGTGGTTCGTGCGCCGTGCTTTTGAACCTGGTGGCTTATGGCTTCAATTGCCCTACACGGCTGGCATCAGTGGTGAGTTCAATTGGCGATGGTCCTCAGCGCAACCACTTGAAAAACTCACATACCCTCATTAGCGTGGTGAGGTTATGGTCAAGGGACCCTCACAGCCGACTCTGCATAGGGCTCCCTTAATCTAGCAGTGGACTGACAAATGGGGCTGTACGTGTAAATGTGCATAATTCTGTAAACCTGCACTGACTAGCGTGGTGAAGAATGGTCAAGTAACCTTTGTAAGCCACACGGGGACAGAAGGCCTTCATTCCAGCGGTGGCTTCAACACAGGCCTGTACATTATTATAGTAATACTATATAACTACGTCTCTGTGGTTACAAGTGGTACCTGAACGAGTGAGTACCTGCTCATGGGGAGACCCGTGGGAGTAAGTACCGTTCAAGTGCACCTGAGCGAGGGAGTACCTGCTCATGGGGAGACCCGTGGGAGTAAGTACCGTTCAAGTGCACCTGAGCGAGGGAGTACCTGTTCGCGGGGAGACCCGTGGGATGATGCCAGGTGTCGCTCCAGCTGCGATCGGTAGACAAAGGAGCAGCCGCAGGTCTGGCACGTGAGGGAGCCGGGACCTCCCGAACCGCCGGGCCCTCCGGGCCCCAGGAGGGCCCCGGCCTCGTGCCGGCTGCGGATGTGCTCCTTGAGGGAAGTGAGACGGCGGTAGCCCCGTTCGCAGAAGGGGCACGACAGCAGCTGAGCGAAGGAGTCCGGCACCCCCCCGACGGACGCGTCTGTCGCACACCAAAGCGCGAGCAACGCACGCGGAGAGGGAGGCTTAGCTGCTTTGGATGTCCCAAGCGAGGGAATGCGGTTTGTGGTTGCCACCATTTCCACCGTGGACCAAACCCGGACACGTTTCTCGTTCGGTCGAGGTCTATTACCGAAAACTGTACAGTGCACTGCGACAAAGTTCAACGCGATACTGGTGCCGGATCTTGGCGCCAATAAATTCCTGCCATCCAAACACAGATGCCAATTCCTGGACTGTCTGGGTCAAATCCTGATCTATGCCAGACAGGCGGTAATCCTAGAATGCACCAAAACAGGATGTCATGTTGACCACTGAGATTTAATGATGAAATCATCTCCTGCGTGGGTGCCAGGTGAATTGTCGTGTCGCAGGAACGTTAGAAATGGATAGGGCATGGGGAGGCATTCACCCAGCGGTTTATTGACCTTGGCTGATGACAATGATGATCATGTGTTGTGGAAATGTGTTATTCATGACTATATTTCTGGAGTAAATTACTTGTGTTTTTGTAACATTTAATTACGGACATAGTGATTACTCGGAATTACACTGAGACAAAAACATTATCAGATGGATGGAGGAACAAACTCATATTGGAGACATTAACTGTGAAGAAAAACTAAGTGGACAATCAAGTTTCTGAAGGATACTGCAGGTCGATTTTGACATATCCACCTTGTAATTTGTGTAAGGGTAACTTTTTTTTACGCCATGTATTGGTTTATAAGTTTTGACAAAAAAAAACTGAATTTCCAAAATGGCAGAATATGAGCCGCCATCTTGAAAATAGAGGGGCTAAAATAATGCCAGAACGGAAAAGGATTTTTGTTTGAAAAAAAATCCAAATATACATCCACAAACCGTAGAGTTTTAACTTTATTCGAAGATACTCATCATAAAAGAGGACAAGGCAAGCTTTTATCAGAGTTAGCCTGTCATCTGCGATCTGTACAGACCCAACATGTTGACAGCTAAATGCTCAACAGCTTGGCTTTATTTTGGTGATTTCGAAAACCTTTTTTGGTTTGGCCATGTTTTTGGCCTTAATCTAAGTTGTCTTGTGGTTGTTATTGTTGTTTGACTTGCATCCCACTGGGATTTTTGCACACAGCGTTGGTGTACGGTGCTTTTTCAGGAATATTTTGATGTTTTTTCCTGGATTTTCTGTTTGCACAGTCACATAGTCACTTTAAGATGTTTTTCTTGTTCATGTTTTTGTTTTTGTTTGTTGCGGTTGCACCCGATTCAAGAGCCGAATGGCTCACAGGGCTATACCAAATAAATGGAACTAAAGTTATTGGAGTAAACAAAACCATTTTTGCATGTACAACTCTGCCAAGTTCATAAGATGTGGTTTACCTGCATTGCCATTACAAAAGGGAGGCTTCTCTAATTACCTATCGCAAAGCGGTGTAGAATATATAAAAGGCAGGAATGGAGCAACGTATGTATGCTTTGTTGTTGCAAATGTTAAATATGCGGTCAGTTGTTTTTTTTCCACGCTCAAATTTGCTTCATCCCAAACACAGGTCACTCACATGTAGCACCCATTTTTCTATTCTCAATTGTGTTTATTCCTGTTCATTGTGGGTTGGTGAAAGGGATGAGCAGGACTGGTGAAGTATAGTCAGATTGACATGGTGTGGGGAGGCCTTCACCCAGGAGTTTATAGAAACGGGCCTGCAAGTGATGTCAACTGATTATATTGCATCGTACAGCAAAACATTTCTGTCCGCTCTGATTGCTCTGATTTTTCTCGCTGTGGCTCATAGAAGAAACTTGCTTTGGTCAGTTTTAGTTGAGTTTGCATTCCGCCAAATCTTGCCATTCCAAATATCATAGACCATCGACTCATTCCACTTGACAAACCTGGCTTAATCATGGACAGATGCCATGCATAATCCATTCCAATCAATGAATCGATGCCTACTCGTAACACAACCTGTAAGAAGTAATTCATATTATAATAACGACGATGGCATTGGTGTTTACAATGGCATCTAAAAGATGCTGCGCAACCAAAAAAAAAAGAAGTATTGCATTTTTGTTCTAAATGGAGGACAATGAGTAATGTGTTTCGTTGGGCTTGTGGCAAGCCCTGTTGCGTTACCATGCTCCTCAGTGCTGCTCGTTTCAGGTGTTCCGTTTCGTAGCGAAAACTCGAGCTCCTTGGCGCACATCACTGCCGCCACTGTATCCCGCTGCCGAAAGAAGGCCGTCATGGTCTCGGCGTGCCTCTCGTCTCCCTCCACCTTTCCCTTGCCAAAGAAGTCCTCAAGCTTGCTCACGCTTCCGTCACCTGCAAGGGATTAAGCAGCACCCCCGATTAGCAAGGTTGGCTACGTACCGTACGAAAGAAGTTCAACATACGTACATACGTACAAGAAACGCCCGGAGGGAGAAGCGTCAAAGAAAACGTCGCGTTGGGAGCGTATGAAAAATACATGTGGTTGCACCACAAAAATACATGTGGTTGCACCACATGTATTTTGGTTGCACCACATGTATTTTGGCACGACGTCCGACGTTTCACTGCACGTGCCGGAAGCTTCCTCGGCAGATTAATTTTTCGTACACCGCAATGAACAAAATGCGGCACAACCCGAAAATGCATCGGATAGACGTGCAGCACAACTGCGAGAACCTACACAAGTTAAATCAATCATGATTACGTATGTGAAGCAAATACCGTTACTTGCTGTTTCGTATCACGACCTATGTTACCATGCTTGTGTCTCTAAGATCTGTACTAGGGGAGCAGTAGTGGAGCGGTCAGCGCTACGCTGCGCTATGAACCTGGGGAGCCGAGTTCGATTCCTGCTCACGGCCAACACCAGTGACGATTATCTGAACTGGTCCTGGACCTCCCCTAGGTCGACTCAGCCACAGATGAATACCCGGTGAAGTGTGTAAACCTCGCCACTGGGGGAAACAAAGGCGTTTGGGCGTGGTGCTGGCCGCTCCCACGGTATTCATAGGTGCTACAAGCTAACAGCACTTGCCCCAACAATCTGTTAAGTCTATATGTGGGATCTTTGTCTTTGTTGTACTGTGTAATGACTTCACCGTCGCGGGACGCCCATGAGAAAGGGCCCAGCAGCTCACTGGGCCCTTTCTGCTCAAATTAATAAAAATGGAAACCTATCGTTTGAACGTTGCACTATTTTACTCTTGGTCGTCATTTGGTGGAGTGCTTCGCATTTAGCAAAAACTTGGCATCGGTTTGAATCGAGAGCAATCAAAGTATGCAGAAGTTCTAATTTAGGGAACATTAGTTATCGTGTTTTTTTTTGTTTGCAAGAAATCTATTCAAAAGGAAAACACAAAAACCACGCGTTTAGCTGAGCTTGTGACTGCGGAAGATCAGCCACGTTATAATTTCTGAAAGTTAGCGTGGATGTTTGCGATACGTACTTTATAACGACGTTCAATTTTAACTGTACATTACCAATCCCAATACATACAAAACACGAAGAGTTTTTCGAGAGTGCCTTGACGAGACCAATGGCCGAGAACGCACTTGTCAATAGCGCCGCATGGCCCTAAATGAGGGGAAAAATATATGTAACGGGTGACATTTCAGGCAAATGGCCCTTATTCTTATGCTTCATAGGAGAGGTAGTTTTATTTGATCTCTCCGCCGTGATTAAGGGGCCATTTGCAGAATGGCCATCACCAAAAACATCAACTATTATATATTTACATATTATTCCCTGCTAGGGCAGCGTTACTGACGAATGTTTTATATTTTTATTGTTTTCCTTCTACGTGACTTTACCGAAAGAACCAAGAATATGAATGTATACCTGTCAACCCATACAGTGTAGCCATATTTTTGTACAGGGAAATTTAGTTTTTAGGTCAATACGGCATACGGCCGTTTCAATACGGGCAGAAAAAAATTATATTTGTTTGTGTTTCTCCCTGGTGATGAGTCTTTGTAGGATGAACGTTGAGATTTATAATGGAACGGGGTGACCAATAAGGTATGAATTGGTCTGTAATAAAGTAGGGCACTGATAAGGGGTTGACAGGTATGCAAATATATTCCTGGTTCTTTCGATAAAGTCACGTAGAAGAATATGAATCCCTGCAGTCACGAAAGCTTTAGATCAAAGGTATGCAAATGTTTTAAGTTTTTTTGTTATTTGTGCTTCTGCACCGCTGCCACCTCTGCGTATCACCCAAACAATTTTTGTTTAATTTTGGACGAGAAGAAAACTAGCGGGGTTGAGAACGCGTAAAAAAAAAACCCCAACTCATTTAAACAAAAATGTTCCAGAGTAGCGTATAAAGCACATAGTTGTGTGTTTTCCCCCCTTTTGAATCCCTGTAGGATGCCCAGCTGTTTTCAGTTGGTTCGACACAACAGCGCAGAACGTAAAAAAAAAATAGCGATCCTTGGTCGAACAAAAACACGATCGCTGCGTTCTCTGAAGACGTCGGTGGATGTTGGACGTTGGGCGGGCAGAGGAAACAATGTTGAGGGAGAATTTAGCAGAACCTGTGTAAACAAGAACTATTGTTTTTTGTAGACAAAAATGAGAAATTGTGGCTTTATGTGGTGAGTATCTTTTGAGTGTCAGGGGATAATTACTGGAGCAGAAACAGCTTGCTCATGTAAAAAAGGGGGGCCTTGCCGTGTATGGCTCTGCACCCACGGTACACTATAAACATTTGGCCTGCTCGCCGTGGGGTCAAACGCATCAGCAGTTCACTTCCTCTTTCGTGCTGACACCGAGAAAAAAATGGTTCTTTTTTTTGGTCAAATTATTTAACGATACAAATGTTGCCAGTACAACAACATATCTTTCAAACATACGTTTCTAGCCCTCGACAAATAGCTTCCTTTTTACGCTAAGACGTTTTTTTTTTTTAAATTCGGTTTTTACTAATGTCTATGAGTGCGTGTTTATGCCTCCGTTAAACACACAAAGCATTGCTCTACATGGAATCGTGCGGTGATTGTCCATTGGAAAATTAAGGATTAATTTCAGCGTGTGCTTGTCCACGTGAAGCCCCATCTGCCGATCCACTACCGCATGAGGGACTATTTGACCGTACCTCACCACGCTGGTCAGTGCAGCTTTTTGTGCAAGTGGGGGGGAGGGAGAATGCGGAACTGTACTGCCACCCACCACGTCCTACTACATCGGTTCCACGACGCATGCCACCGGTGACCCACCCGAGCACTACCCAGGCTCCAACGCGCTAAGCTTCTGAGGAGGCGGCGACTGCACCGGCCCCGAGGGCACGGGTCGACAGACCGCGGCAGTCTGCCCACGTGCTCTTACTCATGGTGACCTTGCACTTTTCAGGAAAAAAATTGCACTTTTCAGACGAAGTTGTTCATAGTATGTAACTTTTTGCCATTGTGGGGTGTTTTTATTTAATTATGAAAACATAATTTCAGCCACCCTCCACCCCCCCCCCCCGACCAAGATAATAATTTTCACCCACTACCAATGCTTTCAAAACAACCTCAGGTGGTGCTAAATGAAAGAAATTAACACGGATGTATTAGCTCTCTATCAGGTCACAACATATGATGCCTGGATCTTGATATTAATAATAATATAGAGCGAAACAAGAGGATTTAAAGACCGAAATAGGAGGATTTCTTCACAACTCTGGCTGTCGCCTGATAATGCTCATTGTAATTACTGGCGAAACGTCGTATTCAGATTGTAAATGTGTATTTACTCTCCAACGCACCGGTGTGCTGTACTAGTAACTAATTGGCACGTTTTGTTTACGTGACAAACCTTACTAGTTGGCTGTGTCGGGTGGTGGCGGGTTTAACGACACATTTACATTTACGCGATCTAACCCAAAAACCTCTATTATGGATAACATTGGTCGCGAAAACCTTCGTGTTATACACTTGATATTAAGATTATATCGCAAAAAAAGTCTCTTGCTCAGCACAAGAAACATTTGACTGGAAAATGTCTAACGAAAGTGTAAATTCAGTGGAAAATAAACCCGGATAAAATACCCCACCCTAATATTGCAATACTCACCAGACTCACTTCCCACGTCGGATCCAAGGGCAGCAGTAGCACACAGCATGGGTCTGTCCACTTTCATTGTGACTGAAAACACAAAACAGCCACGATCACCTTCAATCTTCGTACGCTGTTCTACGCCAATGACCCACGTCACCTGGAACGCGCCCCCCAGAGATCTCGCCAGATCTTGGAAGCGGAGCAGGGATAATGCTTGGACAGGTTAATGTTAATAATTATACATTATTATTAGTATTAACGTGGAAATTAATTACATGTGGAAATTAATTACATGTGGCCTAATTTGCAAGAATGGGCTATTGTGTGCCAGTGGTCTGGCCCCAGCATTTCCAGATGTGTAACTTATCGCCATTTGTTACGTTACAAAGAGTGTACAAAACGGGGAAAAGACCATTCCTTGTACTTACGCTGTTTGGAAAACCGATGCTTTACAAGGAATTATATCGGCTTGACATAGACAGAACGTGTACACCGAAACATATGCACTCCGTAATACAGTGTAGACATTAGGCATATAATGATTCACCATCTCTCCCTCCTCTCCCCTTCCCCTTCGCCCCCCTCCCCTCCAAACTCGGCATGGTTCAGACTGGCGATTTGACTCAATAATCTCGGTTTTTTTCCATCTTATTTATATTGTTTGTTGTGTGTCCTGTATCATTTGTATCTGTGTTGTATTCGTGCTATTGTCTTCAATGTAACGTCTGCGTTTAAATTGCTATAAATCATAAAGTGTCGATTCTCACACGGGCAACTTGATGCGTGTATTGGTGAAGTAAGACTTCGTTTGATATCCTTTTTGCTTTTGTCTTAATTTTATTCTAAATATGCTCGCATTCGAGAAATAAAATTCCATTCGGGAAAACTCTGCAGCTAGCAGTGCATCACATTGTGTCAGAGAATGACCCAGACGATGACATCACAGAATTACTTCTGAGGTCACTCCGATAGATTTCTCTATCCACACGAGGACTGAAACCTTTGTTATGCCTTGCAAAGAATGTTTAAGTTTCAGGGCTGAGATTGAGCGAAATTAAGTTAAAAACCAAGCTTAACACGACGGTTTTATATTTCAATCACTGATGATTGGGCCGAGACCATCAATTCGCTACACCGAAGAACCTGCTTGTTATTCTTGGTTCTTTCGGTAAAGTCACGTAGAAGGGAAACAATAAAATAATACAAATATAAAACAATACAATTTTCACGACGTTTCTACTGCAACACAAGCAACCATCATCAGGTGTGGTTTCACACCTGATGATGGTGTGGTTTTCACACCTGATGATGGTTGCTTGTGTTGCAGTCGAAACGTCGTGAGAATTGTATTGTTTTATATTTTTATTATTTTATTGTTTCCTTCTACGTGACTTTACCGAAAGAACCAAGAATATGAATCCCTGCAGTCACGAAAACTTTAAATAAAACTTGAATCTGCTTGTTATTAATGGCAGTGGTGCTGGCTCAATTCTCTGACATCTGAGCCACCCACTTAAAATTACATAAGAAATGCTGCCCTCTACTGCGTGGACTTTGAAGGCAATTGAAAGGGGTTTTCAGATGTAGCTCTATGATATCCACATCCATGGGTAATACAAATAGTTTAGTTCAACGAGTGGTGCCGCGTGATAGGCCACTTCGTTGAGCGATCATTTGTGGCCAGGTCGCTTCTGAAAAAGAGTTGTACAACTCAGTGGACCTTACCTGGTAAAATACGAATTCCTTAACGTGATCCACAATGGTTCCAATCGGGCACGTTGGTCTCATAACATGACACGACAAATTAAATAAAGTAATACAGGTTTTCAATCTATGAATCGACACATCATTTACATGCCAAGTAAATACGTGTGTGGTAGGCAGATAGAATTTTATTTTTAATCTAAAATAATTATGCGTCGGTGTGACAGAAATAAAATGGTATATTCTAAGTAATAAATCGCTTCTGCTACTTAAAAAAAACAGCGGTTTGCTCAAAACGTAAGTTTTCCAGATGCTCAGATAATAATTAAAAAACAACATGCAACAATTACTGTCAAACGCTCGGCTCACACCGTCTTAAACGTTCGCATTCTTATACATTTTTAAGACAAGGCTTATCAAAATAATCCGACGCAGCACGGCATTTTTATACACCTGTAGCTTTTCGCCCATTACCGCTATTTGAGTCGCATCCACCTGCCCCCCACGCGGTGAAGAGACTTCACACAGAGAGAGAGAGGGGGGCCGGTCCACGCACCAAAGCGCCCCTCCACGGCTTTCTCCTTTTTTTTACCCACGGCTTAACCGGCCTCGTGAACACTGGGCACTGTTACACAACGGTGCTGATGGCTCCCCTGCTCCTGCGTCTGCGCTGGTGGCTAACTGTAAAAAAAAAGGTTAGTCGGACGTGTTGCTTTAAATATAGGAGACGGCGCCCGATACAATCTTCCATAAGCGCGACCACAGGCTGGGCCAGTGGTAAGCGGTGGGAGTGGGGGGGGTAGTCCTTCAAAAATTTGTGCCGGTGCGGATTGTGCACGGCTCGCACTGGGTCATGGTGCCGGGCGGCGGTGGCGAGCCACCGGTTATAGACGGTGCATCGAGAGCAAACGGTGGATTTGGCGGACGCCGATGGTGCGGATAAAGAAATAAAGAAAAAAAATGTAAAACGTGCTGAGAAAAGATTGGTGTTTTTCAGGAGTCAGGCCCTTCTCGGGTTAAACCTCGTGCAAATTAGGAGAAGTTATTTTTTTTATTTAACGCACGTTATTCCGAACGTGTCACTTTGAACGTAATTGGACAAAATAAAGGAAAACAATCCCCCTAAATCAACTTAATTTAAAGCCTTAAAATTCATTTACAGAACATTACATTAATTATGACCAAGCAATTTTTGTTAATATGTATCTTTAACGATGTGCGCGAGGCATTAACAACGGCACTCGAAACACTGGAAGTGGCGTGCCAGTGAGTGACAAGGAGGAAAGTTTAACAACACATCATTATGGTGTTATATCAGGTCCATGTGTTAGAGATGGAGATAATAGATGATTATATATAGAATGTAATTTTTCCCCCTCCCCCCCCAGCAAGTATTAAGCAGTGTTTTGAAAAGCGTGCACCATTACATTAATTACACAGCCAATTAAGGATGTCTTACCAGGCTCCGTTGGGGATATTAACTCTTTCGCTGCCTCCGCCCAGGCTGAGTAGTTGCCTTCCTTCTCGCTGGCTTCGTGGTCGTTCCCGCAGTCGTCGTCGTCTTCCTCCTCCTCCTCCTCCCCGTCGCATCCGTTGTCCTGCATCTCGCCCGTGGGGCTCTCGCCACCTGTAAGGTCCGGGCTGGATTGCCCGTCGAGCGGATCCTGGAATAAGCAGTCCAGTTCTTGGGCGGAGATCCGGTTTTCCTCATCCTCCTCCTCCTCCTCCTCCCCCTCCTCCTCGACTGACTGCCGAGGAAGAGGACCGCCGGTCCCGTTTTCGAAATGCATCATTGCTGTGAAATAATGACGAAAAAACGTTTTAAAAGCGTAAGGCATCGATTTATTTCGAACGTGACGTGCAACAAAAATGGTAGGCCACGTGTTCTCAGCTGGGTTTTGTTCTTCTTTAGCCGTCAAAAAATTGACCCAACATCTCAAACAAAGCCCCGTGTTAATTAAAGTTACTTCCATTGAATGCAATGAGAATGCGTGTAGGTTTTTTTTAGTTTTTTTAATGGCATTATACATCCATACAGTTATGGCAACTAAATACATATTTCGTGACAGATAATATCACTGCATGACAGTGTTGGCTTCACTTATTTTTCGATCCGTAGCGCTCGCAAACCGATGCGTTCGCCGTAACGTCCACAAAATATGTTTGAAATGTAAAAAGTTACCCACTTTCTGTTCTCAAGCACGGACCGGCCGACGAGGTGGCTCGGTATTCCGGGAAAAAAAGGGACGCGGCTGAGAGTGACGTGTCACAAACGTTGACGGACTTCTTTCAAGAAGGGCTCCGTTACTTTGTTAGTGGAAAAAAGCCGCTTTTCCACCACATTTTTTGTCAAAAAAGATCAACAAATATTTGTAGAAAATGTTTTTTTGGGGGGGTTTAAAATAAAAAACAATGCTGCTCTGGGGTTTTTTTTGTGTGTTCCAATTATTGGTGGAAATTACCTTTCCACAACAACACAAAGTAAATCTCTTGCGTGCACAAGTCAGCCAAGTATGCAAATAATTCAGCTTCCTCCTGCCAACTTGAATTATCATAGTATTGTTTATTTTTTATCGTGTCAATGCTGCCATGGTGTGATGGTTAGCACAATGGACGCGGCAGTTGAAACAATGATGCAAGTTATCCTGAATCTCCACCGCCTCTGTCCACCCAGCGGTATAAATGGGTGCACTTGCCGTTAGCTGGTTGGCAGGTCGAGTGCGGTGGTGTCAAGTGTGGGTACTCTTGCCTCTTCCAAGACATCTATCTGCCTTGCGTGGAAGAGTAGGTAAAAGCAAGGCCCTCTAAAGCTCCCTCTAAGAGGGGAGCAGTGGCTTGAGCAAGCAATTACAGGGCTGCACCTTTTTTTTTAAAACATTTTCACCACTTCCAATAATACCCAACACAAAGGGGATCTGATCTTAAGCCTTGGTAACACGAGTCCACATTTTTGGATCTTGGCCTAAGAGTCTCCACGAGCAATTCATGAAGATGGAGTCGACGCCAATGTCCACTGAATGGCATCGATAGCAAAACGGCGTCGTTCGGCCAGTAAGAATTCATGGTTCTCATTGCTGGCCGGAATGGAAGGAAAGAGGGCATCTATATTGTGATGTGAGGATATGTGACCCTGTATGAGATTTATAAAGCACTGAAATGGCTGAGGCGGCCAATCCATGGAACTTTACCTTGTTCCATATTCACGGCTTAAATTCTCACTTAATATTGTCCGCAACGCTGGTAGGCTGGCCCGGAGTATGGATTATTGGCGCAAGGCACGACCACTAAAGTACAAGGTTACAGCTGTCCATAATAATCCTATATTATCGTACCATATATTCCTATGATCCTATGAACAGGTTTATAATAATTATGAGCGCTAAATAAGGATAACTGGATTTTGGAGTGCCAGTACTGACTTTATTGATGGTAACTGCTGTTAAAAGTGATTTCTTGCTCAAATGAGCACTCAGGAAGAGCTCATCACCCTTTTTAGAGAAGTGAGCCACCAGAAGTGTAAATTCCACACTTCTATGGCAGGGGTGCGGAATGGTGGGTGAGTATATCTATAGGACGAACGCTGTTGACCTCCCCACAAAATAAAAAAATATATAATTGTCATATCACGTCGTTCATGCAAAACTGCATCTCACAACGCCGTACAAGACAACAGCAACACCAGTGGTAGTAATTTTATCGACCACACAGGGATGATGGAACGAGTCAACCTCCAAGCAGGAGTTCAACTCACAACCGTCCGACTGCACACCGCTTGCCATACTGCGCAAACACAACGGACTTGGACACTTGAAAAGGCCGTCGTGGGCTGTAGCTGCACTTCAGCAATTACGATCCGGTGGGATCTTTGACTCACATGTGAAGCCACTTCTTTGTTTTTAGTTTCGTGTCGTCTATTTATTTCTCCTTCTTCTTCTTCTTCTTCCCTTTTATCACTAATTTCGTCCCTAGTTGTGATGTCAGAGTCGAGTCAGAAGGCAAAGCAGAGGCTCCGAGAGGGTGTCAGCCGCTCGTTCTGTTGCCCACGGGCAACTACCCTCTGCATCTCTCTCTCTCTCTCACCGCACGATCATTAATTCAGTGTAAATAATGGGTTTTCTTCACCTCCATCATCCACCACACGCTAACAAACATTGCCCTCGCGGTAGGGGAGGTCCAAATTAAGGACGGGGGGGAAGAGAAATTTAGCGGACAATGGGGGGGGGGGGGTGGTGGTGATGCAGTCGGTTTTTTTTTAGGTGTGACGCACTCATCAACGATTGCAAACGGAGACCGCGAACATTTCTCGGTGAACCTCGCCCGCTACGGTCCGCTTTAGTGTGGGCAGGGGGCGCGCCACGTGTCCGTGACCTTGATTCGACGCAGCGGAGACACACAGACCCCCCCTCCCCAACTCAGAGCCAAAATCGTGTGAGCTAGACAAGCTCATCCCGCAGGAGGGCATTTTGTGGCCCGCGCGGAACACCGCGGGTCTTTTTTTTTCCATCGACGGGCGTGATCACGATCGGACGTCGGATTCGCACGAGCGCATGTGCCGTGGAGGCGCTCTCGCGGTGCGTCGACCGAAATCGTCGATGAGCGCTGACGTTTAAACTTGGCGGTGCACGGCGTCGAAGAGTCTCGCGTCCGGGAATCGGGGAAGCGTTTATTTGTTTATTTATATTAAAAGCCGCTCTGCGTGTGGCGTGGCGGTTCAGCGGTGAGCGCACTGCGCCGTGAATGAACCTGATGACCCGAGTTAAATTGCCAGTCAGGGGCTAACGTTAGCGGTGAATGATTTTTGAACCGCTGGGGATATAAGAATGGGCTCAGACGACTCCCTACAGCCACAAGATGCCGCTATATTCACCCCCCCAATGTTATTTTTTCTCTCACAAAATTGAATCGTGACCCTGAATTGTTTGAATTCATTCAATAGTAATGCCATATTATCTATATATGTATATACACGTATACACACACACATCTAGAGCTGTCGAAAATGAAAATCTATAAGTCCAGGCAGGATACCTGTTCATCGGAACAGCAGTTGACGTTCACTGCAATGCCCCCCTCCAAAATACGAGCAATTGCTCGAGGTTTAAAAATGCTCTAAAGTGTCGGCAAGCGTGTTTGGTGCTCGGAGGAGTGTGGGTATGGCATACCGTCGCATACCGGCCCATTGCGACACCTGTATATACACATGATGAAAAAAAATGACAAAGATCCCCTCCGTAAAGCCTAGACAGACTTTTGGGGTAGGTGCTGTATTCCAAGGCACTGCACAGGACGGGGTGGGTGGCCGGCACCACGCCCGGCCGCCTTTGTCACCCGAGTGGCGATGTTTTACACACCCCACCAGGTACTCATTTGAGGCTGAGTCGACATAGCGGAGGCCCAGGACCCGGTTCAGATAATCGTCACTGGTGTTGGTCGTGAGCGGGAAATCGAACGTGGCTCTCTGGATTCACAGCGCAGCGTGCCAACCAATACACTAAAGCTCCCCACATATATGTGTGTGCATATAAACATACACACGTATATATGCCTGATATCTATATACCTGGCATTCACACAAAAGTACAACTCGGACGAATGTAATGTGTTGGCCATAGTGCCGCAATTTTTAAAAATCACTGTCAACTGCCTAAGCCTCTCACACGGAGAGGGAAATCCTGCAAGGCGACGAGGAATCAGCGTGCATGATGCGCGGCACACAAACGTTTCACCGTGTGCACGTCGACAACGACATTGTTCCTTTCGCGGCCACAGTAGATTCCATTCGCCTTTGATATTTTTAAACTCGAGTCTTACCTCAACGTGCGTTCAGTTTGCTGTCCCACCCCAGCCCTCCCTGCCCGCACCTCCAATTGGCGCGGTTGGCTACGCACGGTGCCAAAGAAGAATTTCAACGTGCGTGCATGCGACACATAAACCCCCAAAGCACACGCGCGCGTTACGTACACGCGCGCGTTACGTACACACGCGTGTACCGAAATCAACACGCACAGAGAGTGCCAATTGGCGTCCGACAGATGAGAGGGAGCGGTGGAAACGGTTCACGTTGCAGTCGCTGAGTGGATCGCTGCGTGGCGAGGTGGCTGCTACTCGGTGAGGCCTTCGTCCAGCAGTGGATTGACCATGGTTGATGATGATCACGGTGAAAAGACGTCTTGTTTGATCTCTTTCACCCTATCCTTCTGCTTTTAAGAAGGGCCTTTAACCAAAACGTCGTCCGTGATAATTTCTCTCTGTCATCTTCGCGCGGCGTAATTGTAATTCGCTTTTTCCTCTCACCCCTTGGCCAGCACTTTGTTATACCACCCGTTGTGGCGTACAGCGTAGCGTCAGTATCTTGCGGTAAGGGCACTTCATAAATGTAATTTATTGCTATCAGTACGCTTTGGGTGTGTTTGTTATCCGCGCTGGTGCGCCTCTGCCGACGCAGGTTTATCACGCACGATTTGTTTTCGCTCGCTCGAAAATCGTGCACAGACGGTCGCTCGACACCAATGCCGCCGCTCCCAGAATGTGACCAATCGTTTGGTCAGTGACGTTGGCTCGCGGTGTGCCCGTGAGTGCCCACGCATGTGTGTGTGTGTGCGCGCTTATTTGTGCGTGTGTAGGGGAGCGGTAGTGTGGCGGTTAGCGAGCTGCGCTACGAACCCGGCCGCCCGAGTTCGATTCCAGCTCACGGCCAACACCGGCGACAATTATCTGAACCGGTATTGGGCATCCTCTAGGTCGACTCGGCCTCAAATGAGTACCTGGTACGGTGTGTAAACTTCGCCACTGGGG